CTCAACACATAATACAAACAAGGCGTACTGAAGAGGCAAAGATTGACTTACTGTCGCGAGTAATTAGGCGGAAAGTCTGGTACTCGCTGCCCCCTTGCGAAGAGGTATCGGACTCCGACCTTGACACGGTGTAGCAGAAGCTTCCGCCCTAATTTCTTCCCTCCGTTCTGGATCAGTGATTCGTGCGAGCGAGTGTTGATCGGAAGTCCAGAGTTCTAATTTGGTGGATTGTAGAGAGAGAAAGGGAGAGAGAGAGAGAGGGAAAAATCTGAAGAGGGAAGGAAAATGGAAGGAGGAAGGGAAGAAAATGGAAATTGAATTCGGGTTTATTGGTGGTGGGCTTGACTGGTCAGGTCATGCCCCGATTGTTGAATTGTGTGAGACTAAGCAAAGTCTAAATCCGGTTCGGGCGGGTCAAGTTGTGGGTGGCAGTTCCGTTGGTGGTTCTTAAGTTTTGAGGTTTCTCTCTCTATATTTGTGCAGAAACAGAAGAAATATAAAGTTCTGCGTTGATGAAGCAGATGGATTGTTATTTGAGATTTCAGATTAGTATTTTGTTTGAGAATGGTCAAATCAATATCTTAAATATATACTAGTAACTCACCCGTGCGATGCACGGGATCAATTCTTAATTCAATTTTTTTTAATGATTAAAACACGTCGATGATGTAAATCAAACACTTTTGCGAGTGAAAATAAGATTCTAATGCGATGCATGTGGGTAATATAAAAAATAAAAATAGGTTTTAGATAAAATAATTGAACGAAAACTTTGAATAATTGATATATAATACGGTATAATCTAATTTTTTAAAACCGATATCAGTTTCATTTGATTTAAGTACCGAGATAAAAGAAATAAATGATAAAGAAAATATAAAATACGAAAAAAAGTGATATAAAAATAAGATACATTATCTGACCCATGGTACAACTATCTCGTCCCATACATTCGGATCCTTAACAGGAAACTTAATTATCAAATCAGTATTTTACAATACGTGCATTGACATCTAATATACCTTTTGAGTAACATGCACATTTTTCATTGTTCAAATGCAATAAGTGATACACATTAGTGAAACACAAATCACTTAAAAGTGTAAGAAATAAATACAATTTATACTAAAGTACATTGATTTAAACAAAAAAAAAATCAGTGGAGTCGACAATAAAGTTAGCATAAACAGCAAATAAACTTAACACGATAAAATAATTATACATATAAATAATACAAACAACAAATGTCTATTTGAATCACAATATACAATTTATATGATGTACATTCATATTCCCTGAAAAACTTCCTTGTAAACAACATTGCAAGTAATATTAGTCTCCTATTTCAGCTTGATAACCAAAAAAAAAAAAATATATATATATATACTAATACTAATACTCATATTGATATTCATACTGATATTACTACTGATACTACCACTAACACTAATATTGATAAACATACTAATATTGATACTACTACTGATACTAATGATGATACTGATACTGATAATCGTGGTGATACACAAACTGATACTTATACTCATACTAACACTGATAATGATATTGATATTGATACTGATATTGATACTAATATTGATACTCATACTAATACTAATATTAATATTGATACGCACACTCATATTAATACTTATACTGGTATTGATATTGACATTGATACTAATAATGATACTAATATTGGTACTGAAACTAATACTGTTAATACTGATACTGATATTAATATTGCTACTGAAATTGATACTAATATTGATACTGATAATAAAACTAATCATCATACATATACTCATATTGATACTAATATTAAAACTCATATTGATACTAATATTGATACTCGTATTAATACATTGATACTTATACTCATACTAATATTTATACTTATACTGATACATTGATACTCATACTCATACTGATATTTATATTTATACTTATACTGATACTTATATTGATACCGATGTTAACATTGATACTGCTACTGATACTATTAATGATACTAATACTGATAATCATGCTCATATTCATACTGATACTCATATTGATACTCAAACTAATATTGAAACTGATATTGATATTAATAATGATACTATTACATACACAAATATTGATATTGATATTGAAATTGCTACTTATATTGATACTCAAACTAATACTATTACTAAAAATATACTAATACTGATACGGATACTCATATTGATATTAAATACTAAAACTTGTACTGGTTATTAAATTGATACTCAAATTGAT